GACAGCACATATCATGACCATATATAGGCACAACTTGACTATATATGGGCATACAACAGTTTTTTCTATTCTTATCTATTGAATTCATCATCATCATTATTGATACAACTACTTTTGATAATTCAATGCTTTCATTTCATAAGTGCATTAGATATTATTAATGTTATGCAAATTAATGTACAATATAAAGTATGCATTACAACTGGAAAATGTGATTTTATTATTTTGTCAGATTTTGATGGCTGGCAATAAGAAAATCAACAATACAGTGAAGGAGAACTAATGAATATTATTATTCTTTTATAGGATTTACAGTATCCGGAAAACTGCTCAAAGTGCTCTTTCCTCTTTTGTCATTATACAAAGAATCAATCATACACAACATGCAACCTCCTCCCCTCCCTGGGGAGTATTCCTAGTTATGCATGTAATCAGCACTACTAATTTCAATCCAAATCATTCTCCTACTAGGAACCCATTTATACTCCTGGGTGATGGGTGAAGAAAGGCAAATGCAGATTTGTCTTGCCCAAGGATACAAGCATGGTCTCAAACCCACGACCTTCCGATTGAAAGTCGAATGCCTTACACACTGTGCCACACCCTTCTACCAAACTTAAGAACACTATGACTAGAATATGAATAATGATAGAATTAAAACTGCATTTTTTTTAAGAATCCACAATAAGAATGTGATAATCGTTAAGATTCAGTACAACACTAGACTACAGGTTGTCCCTCCCAATTGGTGGCCTTGGGATTCAGTCTCTAATACAGTGGGTTGGCTTTGTATTAAAAGATTGAAGATCGTCATTTGGTTCTTTAAAGAAATTGTCTTGAATTAGAAGGGGTCTCAGAATTAGAGGGTCTCATATTGAAATGGGGGGGGGGGGTACATGGTACTGAGCAAGCGACAGAAACTCTGGTTTGTGGATGAAAGCAAAACTCACAGCAAATCTTAGTAGAACGTTAGATCCAGCGCCCTCACCAAGTCCAACAAAGGTGTGCTTATCTTGAAATCTACAAAAAAAAAAAAAACAACCATAGAAAATGCTATTAATGCAAGATGTTATTGATTTTAATGCATTGTCGTCATCGTCATTGTCTTCATCCTTGCCATTGTTATCATCGATTTCATTATCATCATATTACTACTAAAATATATTATTATTTATCATAGATGCTCAACAAATTAAGGCTCATTATTGTATGTCTTTAACTCATTGGAAATACTGTATGTGCATTAGCATACAAGCAATGGATAATACACCAGTCCATGAATAATTACCAGACAATTATAAGCTTTTATATACATTACAATAGTCATCTCTGTTCATTAGCATTTATGTGTTAAGAGATATAACCCACCACTATCAAATTTAGCATTATTACAATGTCATATAATAGTCATTAAATTACAGGCTCATGCATAAATTGATGCTATATTGTTTTTCTCATCAGGTGATGTTTTGAGAACTTATATTTTTATATGCCAAGAATAACAAATTATACTACACATCTAATTTTATACAGCGGAAACAAACAAGTTATATATAGCTTGTCATGTGTGCATATATCATGCAAGATTTTATAAACTATCTAAAATTCTAAATATTTTGTGAAACTATTTGTTTGACCATGTATATTTTGTTAATGATTTGACATGTTATATATAGTATTACCATGCGACTACAACGTGTGATATTATCATGTGAGTACAACACGCGATATTTACCACATGACTACAACACATCATATTACAATGTGACTACAACACGCAATATTCACATGTGACTATGTGTGATATTCACATGTGATATTACCACATGACTACAATAGATGATTTTATCATGTGACTAAAATACATGATATTACAATTTGATTAGTGATATTACCATGTAACACATTTAAACAAAACATGGGTCATGTGACTTTAGCTAATAGAACATGTGAAATATTATCATGTGACTATAAACATATCAATCATCATGTGCTTATATTGTCATGGAACCAACAATTTCTGATTTACTGTCTTACGGCCAATTTTACAGTTTATACTGTAGTTATGTATTGTAATCATGAATCTACAGTAATATTAAGATTTCTAAAGTTGTTAAAGAATTTCTCTTTCATACTAACTACATAAGGAATGGCTCTGTAATTTACTATGTTGCAGAATAATTTATGAATGTTTTTGAAGTCCCTGGATAGGACTTAAGGAACTGATTCATAATATACCTTCATAGAGAGACCTGAATCACAACCCTGGATCATTGCATGTTTCCTACCACAAATGACAAGATCGCCGTTTGATGGACATCAAGGTCACATGTACAGGAAGGGAAAAGCAGTAGGCTTATCCACTGATTTAGGGCTTTTCTACAGCTAATGACCACCAAGGTCCGAGGAAAAGGAAGGGACAGGCTAAGACCATGAAGGTATCCGATACGAAGGTTGCAGACTTTTCTTTAGCTTTGCTCAACAAGGTCACCGATAGGGGACAGGCAATTGGTTTAGGCACAGCTGGGACTACAGACTTTCGTGGCTAATGGACTGCAATGTTACTAGAAGGGAATGCAGTAAGCTCAGACTCAAATCACAAACAGCTCATTCAATTTCCTGAAAGATAATTCCCAAATTACTGTAGCCAGTACATTTTGTTGATCATGTACCATTTTCATATTAGGCGATATTACTGCTTAACCCCAAACAGTTTCAATTGGAATTCCAGCTTTGTCAGAAAATCCCAACATTATCCTAACAACTCCCTAAATCTTTTAATGATATACACTATCACATTTTACTTCCATCCAGTTAAACCCATCACCTAAACTTTATGTACTGTACTTTTCTGCAAAATGGCTATGCCCTTAATGTTCTGGGTTTTAGAATGGAAACACTATTAAAGCTGATGCATTTACAGTAGACCTATCTGGATAATACAGGCCCATCTAAAGAATGGGCCCATTTTCAAGTTGAAGGGTGTGGGTTTATCTATAACTATTATATACACTATAACAGGAAGTGTAGTGTGATAAGTATATTTAATAATAGTAACTTTTCATAGATCAAACCCTACCCATGAACAGAGAAGCAAATCATCAGTAGTGTAGCAAAAATATTTTTATAAAAATTTTTATTGAAAAATAAAGCATTCTGCACTAAGACACAACATTATGCAAAACACAAGTATGCTGGAATTTGAATATATTAACTTTAATGAGAATAGGTATTTTCATTGGAACGACGACATAGTAATCACCATTAACTCCATCCAAATTTAATGAAACATACAGATCAAATTTCAATCGTTCATTTCGCTGTCTCTATTTATTCATTCAATAAATTACAAATATTGCGATTGTTGTATGAAGACACCTTAAAATGGAAAAAAAAAATGAATTTCAGAAACTTAGAATATTTATAACTATCCCCATAAATGTACAAATTAGATTTGTAATCATTTGCATACTGCTACAGAGTATTGCTTATATGGGCTAGGTTCAAGGTGGCACGTATATATGTAATACATATTTACTACGGTATCTATTTTTATTACTGAAAATATGTGTCCTTAATGTTCAATGTATTATATATTCTCCACTATTTAAACATATAAATCATTTTTTTTTTGTTTTGAGATGTTCATAAACCCTATGAATTATAGGTGTGCCATTGTTCATAATTTACGTAAGAGAAATTCAACACTCCAGATTAAAGATTAATGATAGCACAGTTGTACATTAAAAGAAACATTAGATTTAATTAGGGTCAAATTTTGTTATATCAAAAGCTTGTATTGTGGAAAGTCAATTTAGAATTTCTTTACTGTCTCAAAAATTGCCATTAGACATAAAAGAAGATATCGTCAAAAACTAATTTCTTAGAAAATATAACTAAACTAAAAATTATTATAAATAAAGGTCCATTTACACTGAATCCGGATTTTCGGATCGGAAGGCCTACCAAATCATCAGCAAATCGAATCAGTGTGTAAGAATAGGGATGCTGACATTCAGCGGATTGAAATCTCGGTCTGAATTTCGGTTCGGATCCAATGTGAATGTAGCTTTCTGGCTCATCCTCTTTTATTACCTTCTGTTCAAACATTTTCAAGATTGTAATAGTTAAATAAAAAAGCCTATTACGGTAGGCCCATTATGTTTTATATACCAGAACTTAGTTTTTAAATAATAATTGTAATATTAAAATTGGCACAAGACCACACTACTTCCTTGGTAAATATAAATTTGATTTGAATTTAATAAATCACAATTAATCTAAAAAATCACCAAAAAAGAGGATAAAATAGGATACACACCACTACCACTTAGAAATATCAATTAACAACATTTATAACATTAGATTATGATAGAAGAACTGAATAAAATACAAATAATCACAACATTGATCTATGAAAATATGCCTGATATGACAACAGATAGGAAATCATTTCTCAAATAAATTATAAGAAATCAAAGGTACCTAAAGACTAACATATCAACATGGCGTGGAAGCAGATGGTTTCAGGTAATTGGAAGAATATCTTGTCATGATTAATTATTTTATTATTACATTAAACAGGTGTTAGTATAGCATCTTCTCTGACCTTGTATCTCTCATACACCTGGCGACAGACAACAAAATAGATGACATATAATAATGCATTAGCAGTATGCTACTACTGTAGAACATTATGTTATAAATCTATAAATAGGTATTTAATTAGGGGTCAGCAATATTGTTTATTTCTATCAATGGTTGGTTTCTATCTGTATTTGTGTGCAATAATGTTTGGTTCTATTGGTGGTGGCTTGCAATAATGTTTACTTCTATCGTTGGTTGCATGCAGTGATATTTGCTTTTATATACCGCATAGATTCCAGGTATCTGATTGGTTAAAAAGCGTGTACTGGTAATAACTTCAACCATTACTTCTATGACTGCTTTTTTTCCCATATCGCGATGTAATCTCTAGGCCCCACTTATAACATCGCTGTGTAATTTATGATACGCACAGACATTAACGACTGCGACCTCTACTACAAGGGAGATTGGCCCTTTGACCATGTCACAGATCAGGAAGCAGACAATAAACAAACATGGCGGCTGGTCGGTTCAATCTCCTGCATCAAGAAGTACACCATGTAGCACCAAATTGCACATTAAATATGTCTTGTCAATATTCAACAAATATTGCACGACGATGGGTGCTGTTGAAATTGAAGAAATGAACAAAGAAGCGCTAGACACACTCTTGGGGAAATTCTACCTAGCTAGTACTCTCCCGAAGCAGTTTTAGCCATCAATTTTACCAGTAAATATAACTGACCAACCAGTGAAAATTGTGTGTTGGTAGGATAAAAAAGCACTTATTAGGCCTAGGCTGGCCTTTTTCAATTAAAACAAACATCATTTCAGTGCAGGCCTAGGCTATGATCATTTATTATTGTTTTTTGGAGCCCATGAACTTTACTTATAAGTGGCAATACCTCACGTTGTGTGCGCTTAGCTGACTCTATATGGACAAATTTATCAGGGTCAAATTGAGACAAGCTTCGCTTCTATTTTTTATCCTAATTAATTAATTTTAATGTTGTCCACTTTATTTATCATTTGATGTATTTATTAATTAATTGAATAAATGTTAATTGAATTGAACTAGCCTACAGTACTGTAGGCCTACATGCTAGGTAATATCTTCATTACTATTTTAGGCCTTGTAGAAGCTATGTATGAGGATATAAAACAAATATTGACTACTACAGGTTCAGGGAACGGTGAAATCTATTGCCCCTCGGTGATGTGGAGACCATACAGTAGCCTTTCTTCTTTGGGCCGCTCAGGAAGATAGTACGCTACGGTCTCCACATCACCTCAGATTTTACCGTTTCCCTCATGAGCAGTCAATATTTTGTATACTATCAGCGGTTATGTGTAATAATATTTGCTTCTATCGTGGTTTTTATTTATCAGTGGTTGTGTGCAATAACCTTTTGTTCTATTTTCTACAGCTATAATTCATGTACTGTGTAATCGTAGGTTTGCATTTTAATTCTGAGGGTAGGCTATCAAATCGTTGACAGAGTACTATTCCGAAATCATACGCTAATTTAGGTTACAGTATAGAAAATTTACTATTTTCAAATTTGCATATTTAGCATGTCCTCAGTATCTTCAAATATTTCTAGGTTTGTTAATAAAGAAGTCTACAATGCATTTAATCTGAGTTCTATCACGTTTCACTGCTAATTAATCAAGTTATCCCAAGTTCTCCCTGTTTCAGTTTCAGTGACCTTTTTTCCTGATTTCATTATTATTTACATAAATCAAATTGAGTAGAAACTTGGGATAAAGCTGCAAAACCTATTTAATGAACGAGTTGACAAATCCCATGATCATGATAAGTGTTAACATGAACAATATCATGTATAATATTTACGATTTGTTGACAAAAATGATGGTGAATTGATGATGACTTAATGAAGGGGATAACGATAACTCACTTAAGATATAATGATAGTAACAATGATAATGATGATACAGATGACGATGACAAAGATACGGATGATAAAGATACGAATGACTACAGTTTATATATCATGATGATATCATGACAATAATAATGATAGAGATGATAATGATAAGATGATGAAAACGATGAATATGATATAGATGAAGATGATACACAATGGTTCTTTTGCCTTCACTGATTCGCAAATTATTTCACAATAACTGCGATCATTGGAAGTTAATTGCAAATCAGTACAGAGTGCATGGCAGGCCTCCGATGCTGATAATCCACGGAGTTAATATTACAGTACGGTACAAACAATCTGCATTTGTCATTAACACCATATATGGCTTTGCAGGCATCACCATCAACTGCCCAGGTAACATATGATGTGAAGAATTAAAGCAAGTACGGGATATAACACATTCACGCAGAATTGGCTCCATCCAACATGTGTTACCACTTGCCAATTCCCTTGCGTACAAATTGAATATTAAAATTTAAAGCTTGTTGTGCAATGCAGAGATGTGAAACACTTGGAGAAGAAAGTAAAGGAGCACTTTTTATTTCTATTTCTATTATTATTATATCATGATTCATAATAATAATACTAATAGTTGTTCTTTACTACTGTATTATAGCATGGATGTTGTTATTGGCTATAATTTAAGAGCATTCTTGAAGAGGTTGCTTGAGAGGTCACAAGTCACACACACACTGCATGTTTATGTATGTTTTGATGATCAGCAACTTGAATTATGGATAGCCAGGGACCTCCCATACTCAATGAAGGGGTTACTGATAACCAGGGACCTTGCATAAAAGGGGTAATTGATAACAAAAGTTCTCACAGACTGAAATAAGACTATTGAAATGGTTTTCCAGAGAATATGATCTAAGAATACGGCATTAAACTAGCTGTACATTGTTTGATTATTATTATTATTATAATTCATTAATATTAGTTTTTTATCATTTACCATTGACTAATAAAAAATAGTATTTTTTTTTTTTATAATTTACCATTGATTTAATAAATAGTGTTATATACATTAGTTTCAAAATAGCAAACAGTACTGAAATGAGCAACTTTGCTCTGTATGTAAAGATTTTGTTTAAATCTCTCAATTTCCTTTAATAATACATTTACATCAAATAATATAAGCGCATAATATAATTACTTTCCTGGGCATTAGCAACACTAGCATTTGTATCATTATTGATTGTTAACATAATTGTGAAAATAACTCAACTCCCTTGGAGGTATTTCTAGTAGCTATGTATTTTTTCTTAATTTACAAATTGAACCAGAATCAATTATCATGTTCTCTTTACTCGTTCAAAAAACGTCGAAGAAAGCTGTGCTTTTTTTCTGGCGAAGTTAACAGTAGCTTACACAACACACACAGAGGCTTTTACTTTGGATTGTGTCCAATAGCTAATAAGAAGCACATTGCCTAAAAATAATCAAAAAAAAAAATTTAAAAAAATCACCAAAGTTTATTTGGAGCAGACAACTTACCCTAGTTGCTCAAGCAGATATGGAACCTCATCAGCTAGTTGTTGCATTGTGGGATACACATACCTGAACAAGGTAAATAAAAACAGCAATTATCAATAAAAGCACAAAATAAATTCCACTACAAATGCTACCATTTATTTAACCTTCAAATTCCTTAGCAAAGAAAAAGATATTTATATTCAATTAAATTGCAGGTAATTAGCATTTTTATCCACAAACTAAAAATAATGAACAGTTTTTACCATATTCTGAGCTGTCATTATTTATTACTAAGTTGTACTATATCCATCAGGGCATAGGCTGGGGGAGGGGATACAAGGTGCACCCCCGAATTCATTCCACTAAGTGGCTTAAAATACTAAAAATGACCACCAACTTACATTGGAACAGCAATTTAATGCCACATTTTTGCAACACTACCCCCACCCCCAATGCCGAAATCAGTCTACGCCCTGGTGATATAAAAATGGAACATTACTGTAATATAAAAACATTAGATAAAATTTAGAGTACAATATAAGCCATTATAACAAAATTGACGAGAAGGATGATAACTTCCTTTGGAATTGTATAGGCCTAGTTCCTGGCTGCGATGGCTTCCTGACTTGGGTTGAGTAGCTACCGCCATTCATAATATATAGTAATTTGCTATGTGGAAGCCATCATTATGCCTATACAGTACTCATGAGTCTGATTTTACAGATTTTATACGCATGTCTAGCCAGGAGTAATATACACCAGTACGTGGGTAACTGCTGTAGTTTTGGCTCCAGAAATTGCGGACAGATTTTTTTTTTTTTAAAAGCCCTACAGCTGTCCGAAAGAAAGTGCCACCTAGGATGTCTTTAAGGGACTGGGGACAAACCATTGGTGGGCATAAATGTTTAAGATGGTAAAAATGGAAATTTTAAACCACAACAATAGGAAATACAATCAATTTGGTTAGATCAACTAATTATCTTAGTTTTAGTAACGACCTCGAGGGGTGTCCAATGACAGGAGAGGATCAATGCTTGCAAACAGGAGAGAGAATGGATTTCCCCTCTGACAAATATTGTTTGAGTATGACAAGCGGTTATACTGATCTGTACTTTGCATAGGTTCCATGATTTATGGTGCGAAGTGATGAGTTATTAGTATGAAGATTTTTTTCATGATTTTGAAATTGAAATGTATGACAAGCAGTTATACTGATCTGTACTTTGCATAGGTTCCTTGATTTATGGTGCGAAGTGATGAGTTATTAGTATGAAGATTTTTTTTCATGATTTTGGAAATTGGAAAAGTATGACAAGCGGTTATATTGATCTGTACTTTGCATAGGTTCCTTGATTTATGATGTGAAGTATTATTAGTATGAAGACTTTTTTTTTCATGATTTTGAAATTGAAATGAAATAATTAAATTTTGATACTGATGTGTTTGCCATTGACACAATGCTACACTGATTTAATAGCAGTTAATATTAACTAACAACTTCCTCTCTCCCTCTTAATCAATAGTCAGAAGCAGATGGTTTCACCTTTTAGAGAACTTACAGGTTCTGTACAACAAGAGTGTTGCACCAGCAGTTTTGAATCCATACTTTAGCTAGTTAACAAGTGTTATAAAGTACAGTATGATAAGAGAGTACTCAGGTAAAGCAACCAAACAAAAACACATTTTTTTTTAGGTACAATTTCCAATGGTGACAATACACTCTTCTTTAAACCACCATATGAAATACAGGACAGATATGGCAAATGGCAACTGCGGTTGCAGGTTAAAAATTATGATGAAAAATAGTGCTTATTACGACTTTCTTATTGTGTATCATTACAGTATCAGCCAGTAGTTTTAATACAGAAATAAGCTCCCAGCGGGAGGGTGGGTCTATGCCCCATACTGCCTTATTGTACAGGTATAATTTTTACTAAAAATAAAGTATCTACATGGGGAATCGGTTATCAGCAAATGTGTGGTATTTACTGTAGTAACTTTTTAGTGAACTTTCTAGGACAGGTCTTATATTCATTTTTATCTTTAGCTTATGACTCATTCCATCATTGCTCCATACTGGATTACTTGATCTTACATGGTTAACTGCTAGATAACATAGCGTCTAGCCCCCGGAGGGAGCATAGATAACATAGTGTCTAGCCCCCCGAGGAGGCATAGACACAAAAACCATGGATTTTAGCCTAGTGGTTACCATTGCACAAGTGGGAATGCATGAAAAGAGTGATGGTTATCCATACAACACAGAAATATGCTTTGGCCTCTAATTACTAAAAAATATATATCTAGACCCCCTCCTGGATTTGAACTGTCAATGTACTTAAAAATATTAAATGCCATAATTGCTTGGTGACATTAAGATGAAGTGAATTCAACTTGAATTATTAAAATATCAGTAAACCTGTGGAAAGCTTATTAAATTATCACCAAATCGAGAGAGTTTTGAGCAGAAAAGGATCAATACATCAAGTGGAGTATTGTCATTCAATTTCCTACTGAGACACAATGCTCGAGTGTTGCAGAGGATGTAGCTCACAGTTATTCACATAATCAATCCGGTATTATCATCCTCATATTTGCCTTTAATTGGAAATTATGTTTCAATATGCTCTGGGACAGTTCAGGCATTTAATAAATATTACTAACATTTCATGCTTTTATGATGATATTTTAATCTTCTCATTTTCTTGTAATAATAATAACGGTGTTATTATAAATAATGAAATAATTACCGGTAATGTGGATAGTAATCTTTCATGGTTGTCATAGCGAGGGAAATGAATTGAGATTTCATTGTTTGTACAGTATGAGGATATTAGATAAAATAATTAACACGTTAGTGAAATGGTAGATAAAATTATCTGATGGCGGAATAATTGGCAAGCATTTACAGCAACTAGATTTTGAGGTATAGAGTATTCAAGAGGTTAACAACCTATTACCCAATATATAACACACAAACACAGGTTGACAAAAACCCAGATTTATTTCACCTGATTTCATAGCATTTTTTGTTAAATTAAAATAACATAGTACCGTAAATAAATTAGGGGTGGGCATAATAATGGGTTAGAGGGATTTGTGAATTCTTTATTTAATGTATTTATTTGTTTATTTATTTATTACAAATCAGTTACAGATAAAATATTGACCAGGAACATAACAAGAGATAACATGGGCTAAGGTCCTACCTGTACACACCAAGTGGTCATCCTGTAACCCCTGACCAATAACAATTACGATAAATTAAATAAAAATATCATGTACATATAAAAAATAATAAAGAATTAATGAGAAAATAGTAAATGGTAAAAGATAAAAATCATCCATTCATTGCTCAATAAAGCAGTTAAAATGTGTAGTTTTTAAAAAGAAATAAGGTTTGTTTAGGAACGGTTATCAAGAGGTTATATTTCTAACAGTGAGGGCCACCTGATATAGAATATGCTTATGGTATACAGAAAGTTCATGGAATATAGCGCAACACTACTCTGCTGTCTGATATACACTCTCAAGCTAAGCACTCACTATCGGGAACGCAATGCTACGACATGTACGCAACAAATCTGTTCAGACTGCACACCAACTGCTCACAGGGAGAGGAGTAGGTTTCGTCAGACGACGGCCATACGATGCAGTGTCTGCCTAGCTTTACTTCTTGAAATGTAACTTACCCGTCTTTTAGGGGCTCTGCATTGTCTTGTTGTCCAGGAGCATTGATATGCACAAAGCACATCTTGGTAGCCAAACCATGGGCTACAGGCTGGGAAATCAACTTCACATAAGATGAATCTAAAGAGGGAAAAACCACAAATAATATGTATTATGCCAAACAGAAAGACGAATGTGGTATGGTAATTTATAGCGTAAATATAGTGCACAAGATCCAAGGACATGCCAAACAATGAACTTAATCCCTTTTCTATGTGACGATCCCTTTGACAAGACAAATACATCACACATAATTGTATTCATGTTTTCTCTAACAAGTGTTTTCATAAATATGAACCCAGAAAATAAACTACTGTATTCTGTTGAAAGGTTGTTATACTGTGTCAACTGCTAAAATCCCATTCAATTATGAGTCACCTTTTCACGAAGACAACCATAAATATCTACATATGTATGTGTGTATATTTTGGAGATAGTGTCAGTTATACCATTTGATGAATAAAGTATCCTGGGCAAGGGGTATGACAAACAGCAAACTTTAATCACTTTTCTATTAAAGGTTCAATCACCAACAAACACAAAATGCTAGTCTGGTTATGAGGTTTAATCAAGTTTTTTTTGGTTGTGAGAAAAAAAAAACCATTCCTATTCGTGCAGGAATTGAATCCATGGATCTGAGATTAAACCAGCAACCCAGGAACCATCAGGGCAATCAATTACCAATACCAGTGTTTGTTAAATTTGTGGTTACATTTATTATATTTCAGATGACATACTATTAAAATACAATGTTAATTTGCCATTGATAGCATTTGCAGTATAAAAAATATTGTATTAAATCAAGTACCTTTATAATAAATTATAAATCCAGTTAACAGGTCAATGAACATTTGGCTACAGTAGATTGTTGTTGCAAATGGACTAGCTAAATTTGTCAGATCACTGATAAAATTAATGAACTAAAGAAAAAGTGAGCCATCAATTCTCTAACAAACACAAAATGCTAGTCTGGTTATGAGGTTTAATGAGTGGAGTTTTTTTTTTTGGTTATGAGAAAAAAAAAAACCATTCCTATTCGTGCAGGAATTGAATCCATGGATCTGGGATTAAACCAGCAACCCAGGAACCATCAGGGCAATCAATTACCAATACCAGTGTTTGTTAAATTTGTGGTTACATTTATTATATTTCAGATGACATACTATTAAAATACAATGTTAATTTGCCATTGATAGCATTTGCAGTATAAAAAATATTGTATTAAATCAAGTACCTTTATAATAAATTATAAATCCAGTTAACAGGTCAATGAACATTTGGCTACAGTAGATTGTTGTTGCAAATGGACTAGCTAAATTTTTCAGATCACTGATAAAATCAATGAACTAAAGAAAAAGTGAGCCATCAATTCTTTTTTTGGCTATTTTTACATTTTACTCTTGTCATTCATTATGCTCTGTCATTCCTTATGATATATCGGTTCTTTACAGCCCATTTTATATTCAGAAAAAAACATTTAAAAAAAAGTAGTAGTTGAAGTATAAAGCAATGTCATTATGCCTGGGAAAAGCTTTTAGTTTCAATTAAAGGAAGAAATTGTCTAATGGTATTGATAAAAACTAGAACATTAAATTGCTGATTTAAAATTATCAAATACTTACAATGACACAAATATACTCTACTTTCAACTTTACTTTATTGACATCTATCAAACATAATGATGGTCAAATTGTAAAAAAAAAAAAAAGATATTAAATGAGATATTTTAAACACGCACATAAAAGGAAGTAAGGTGGTCGACATCTACTGGATGTAACAACGAACATGGAGACATTCCATTGTGTCCGGGGAGGTCAGCCGCGAGAGGCTGATATCCACCAGACGCGTGATGGCATGTAGCAGTGCAAAAACCAAATCTGAAACTCCCGGAGCCAAGTCCCCACGTGGACCATGCAGTACCGGAGTAACTGCCATCGCACCCAATCAGTCCAGCAAACAACTGCATCTAATAATACCACTAAAGAAGAGCTAAACTCCAAAAGCGTCTCTTATTAAAAAGGCCTGATTAATAAAAAGCATAACTGGTTTAAGAATTATCGTAATCTGATGAAATACAATATTAAAACATTAATACTGTTGAATGTTTATTAAGAGATTATTATGAAAATCCCATAATTGCATTTATAGTACCAGCAATTTAATGACATATGCAAAAGAAAACAGAAACTGTTTTAATTCAATAGTCAATATTTAATGTGCCTGTTAATTGACAAGTCAATATTTTCTTTTTCCAATGTTCAATTAGTATTGGTGCCAAAGACAATTATGGGTCCCAGGTCACTATGATAGTTACTACCAGACAATTAACAAATACGCATTTTCATTTCAAGGCAATTAGGGATACCTGTAAATTCAATGACATTAATTTTTTTGATATAGTAACATAATACTAATAGTACCATCCACATGGCTATCAAAACAAATAATTTTGCCCTGCAATACCTGTATACAGGCAAAGCAAACAAACTGACCTGGTAGGCCTATGAACGATTTAAATGGTAACAATATAAAATATGGAATAAAATATATCTCATAAATTAAAATGGCCAATTAATTTCCTACATTAAATATTTTAACAAAAAATTAATTATGGTAAAGTATATTTTGCTAATTATTTGCTTGAATTATTATAATTTATATACACAGCATTGCTGTCATTATGAACCTATTGTTTCCTTGGTCATTGGATACTGAATCAATAATTTGGTTGGGAAGGATGTGTGTGTAGCAATTAACAGGAGGTTCTAGGCTGGGAGTACTTACCACACACTGACCATTCTCAAACATCTGTTAATGGGCTGTGAATGGATTCATTCAATGTTTCAGTTCTACAGTAGATATATTTCATGGCTTATAATTAAAAAATAATTATATAATCAAAAAATAATAATTATGTATCTTGTACCTTGTATGTTGTTGTAAGGGGTTAATTCAAGGTCAGTGTGTGGTTCGTACAGTACCGGTACTCCCAACCTAGAACATCAATGGAGGCGAGTCGAATGGCTGAGTGCTTAAGGCAGGGATTCCACAACATACAGTAGCCATATTATCGGTGCTGGTTTGAACGGCATGCTTGCCTATTCTGGAGGTGGAAGAAGTCTTCTCGGATAACCCAGCTAACAATATTACATTCTACGAACATTATAATAACGTTACAGTTTGGTAACATTATTACATTATTTTGTACAACCATATGTGCGTACTTACAGTATAACCTAATTTTACGTCACAATGTTTAAACGTTTTTACGTTGTGTGAACGTTACTTGTGACATATCTAACCACAATGTTCACGAATGTTGTAAGAACGTTTGGTGTTTGCTATGAAGGACTATAAATAAACCGTAGGTCTAATGTACACAATTGGCTCATGTGCCCTTTAAAGATGAGATTCAAATTCAAATTTCAAATTAAATTTCAGGAAAAATATAACAAAAACATGATGTTCCCTTCCTATCAAGTGGCTCTCCTGACAGCATCATTACAAATTATTACAACAAAAAAACATTTTTAAATAAGAAAAAAAAATAAAAAAAATAAAAAATAAAAAAAAAAAAATAAATAAATAAAAAATAAAAAATTAAATTAATAAAATAAAATACAAAAAAAATTTAAAAAATAGAAAAATAAAAATAATAAAATAAAATACCAAAAAATAAATAAATAAAAATAAAAAATGAGTAGGGAGTTAAGACGGTGTACTGGTCTACACAGCACCTGTTGTGGACAGACAAGGGAAAGTACTGTAGTTCGCACAAGTTCACCGGGTAGCAGACATGAAGAGACCCTTAGGGGAAAACAGATTCACTGTACAAGCTAATCCACGCTTTGAGACTGTGGTGTAAAGTGTTACTGTACATAAAATCCAACTATTATTATTAAGCACAACCTGTTCAAGTCTTACTTTACATGGTGGTTGTTGTTTATAATCATATGTACCTATATTATAAAATGACGATAAACAGAATTAGGAAAATTGAAAAAAAACAATAAATTTATAAGTAAACTATCATCAGGTTTTTGTCTACCCAACAATATATATGACAATATTTGAATAGCATTGATTTTATGAAGTGTGAAAGGTGACTAAATTAGAATCTAATATTTGCTTAAGCTGCCCCTGACCATTCTACGGTAAATAGTCTATTATATGCACTTGTCAGGTCAAACAAATAAAAGAAATGGAAAAACGAGTCCAACATTAAGTGTCCAGTGATGTGTATAATGAAGCTGTATATAATAAATGTAAACTTTAAAGAATCATAAATAATGGAACTCAACCCATCACAATGGTTATAACACATGAAACTCTGTGGTTGACTCACATCCTCTCTAGCTCAACACCAATGTACTGTAATATTGTTATTGATCTAGAGTACATATTATTTCAACTAGTGTACATACTCCATTTTGTTTCCAACAAAGGTTTTAAATGCACATAAAGCCAATTCAATCAAACGGCTGTGAACCACCCACACGCACACTAAAGTATTTATTTCTAAGATATCAAATCTAAACTAAATTATTTATGATCGTAGAATTGTTAATATTTAATTTATTATTATAATTATATAACCAAATATATCTATTTCTGTTCTAAGTTCTGAATTACAGATTGTCATAATCATGAAAATCCATAAATCTGCTAGCAGAAATTGTAGGGTATGCAAATGAAGCGTCCATCAGTGGGCGAGGAAATGTTATTTATCTTTCTTATTTCATTTGAAAGAACAAAGTAATTAAATATTCTTAAAATAATTTCCAAGAATATTAATTCACAAGACAATATAGTGTTTTGCTTCTGGAAACAAATATTGATTATTGTACAACCTACCTTACAGTTAAGTACATTTTAGTATTAGTGATCATCCAATTGACGTTACTACCGCATGGCACACAATCAATTAAACATAGAGACCTCTATACATGCACTATATATAATAACTTGATATATTATCATTAATAGGTCATCATTATAGCATAGGACAATTAAAATATGAGCTACAAATTAGGTGAACTCACTTTTAATATTCTTACAGTTGAAATATGACATTTATTTAA